GCATTCTCAAACATCGTACGCCAGTAGAAGTGTTTGTGCTCATGGTCCCCACGCCAGCGGCTTTGCACGCCCAGATATAAGGCATGGACATACCTGGGGTAAAAAGCATAGGATAAGACCTCCAGATCATTTCTAAACACATCACCAAAACTTGCATCAGAAAATGCTAAATTACACTAGTGGTCAAAAGTTTGGAAATTTTATTTTTTATTTTTGAAAGAGAGAGCTTACCAAGGCTGCATTTATTTGATGAAAAATACTTTAAAATTAAAGCATTAGTATAATACTTTTTTTACAATTAAAAATCACTGTTTACTATTAGAATATGTTTAAAAATGTAATTTATTCCTGTGATGGCAAAGCTGAATTTTTAGCATCATTACTCCAGTCTTCAGTGTCACATGATCCTTCAGAAATCATTCTAAAATGCTAATTTAGTGCTTAAGAAACATTTCATATTATTATCATGCATTTTGAAATCGATGTTTTGCTGCTTAATATTTCTGTGGAAACCATGGTACACTACCATCACTACACTACAGTGCATTACCAGTTTTGTGTAAGACTGTGTAAGAGATTAATACGTTTTTCAAAAAAAGATAGTAATACAAGGGCACATTAAATTGATCAAAATACATTTATAATGTTACAAATGATTTCTATTTTTAAAATAAATGCTGTTCTTTTGAAGTGATTTCTGGATCATGTGACACTGAAGACTGAGTAATGGCTGCTGATAATTCAGCTTTGCATCACAGAAATAAATTACATTTTAAAATATATTATAAAATAGAAATATAATATAATAGAAGTTATTTCATGTTATAATAATATTTAACACTTTTTGTTTTTGATGTATTTTTTACATTAGTAATTAGTAAATTAAACCTTGGCGAGAATAAGACACTTAAAAAACACACACACATATACTTTATTTTATTTCTTATTACAGATTTATCTGTACAACAGACAGGACATCATTGAGACTGACCTGAAGTCTGCACTTCTAGATGGTAAACCATCATATTATTATTATTCATTAATTTTTTGTCATTGACCTATTTATATTGTATTTATTTTGTTCTGTATCTTAACTGTATATTCGCTGGCCTGTAGCTCACAGTAATCAGACGTCTTTCCTGGAGTCCCAGAAGGCTCTGTTCATCCGTCACAAAAACCGCCTTGCTGTGGTCCGAGAACTCAAAGCAAAGGCCAGACTGGAGTTATTTGGTAAACAGGAAATATTAATCAGATTCATTTATATCATTCGTTTTTTCCAAAGACACTGCATGTGTCCTTTAGAAGAAATATTGCATGTTTAATCACACTGAATATATACATTTTTTTAATTATTTTTTTTAATGGAGAGCTTTGATATTAGTGTTTATTTAGATTGTTTTCCTGAATAACATATGTTCAGTGATCAGTACACTTTTGGTTTTAAACTATTTCCTGTTGCGTACTGACAGTCTCTTCGTGTTTCAGATGAGGACGGCCCCGACTGTGCAGACGCTGAGCTCTACTCAGAGGCCAGCAGCGTCTTGACCGGCAGCCATCTTGGCTCAAAATACTCCCGCAGCAACTCTCGCATTTCATCGTGAGTGACATCCCTGCTTACACAAACACTTCACTGTTTTAGTGTCTCATGACCTGTCAGCAGCTGAAATGTCGAGGCTGAAGTTTGCTAACTGATCTGCAGGAGGTCGTCTAAGAATCGTAGGAAAGCAGAGGGAAAGAAACACATTCTAAAGGAGGGAAGCCCATTTGAGGACATCGCCCTCCTGAACGCACTTATTCAAATCATCACCATTGTTGATAAGATGAGAGACTGTGTAAGAGAAAAAGAAAGAAAGATAGTAATACAAGGGCACATTAAATTGATCAAAATACATTTATAATGTTACAAATGATTTCTATTTTTAAAATAAATGCTGTTCTTTTGAAGTGATTTCTGGATCATGTGACACTGAAGACTGAGTAATGGCTGCTGATAATTCAGCTTTGCATCACAGAAATAAATTACATTTTAAAACATATAGAAACAAATAGAAAGCAGTTATTTTAACTGTAGTAATATTTCACAACATTACAGTTTTTACTGTATTTTTGATCAAATAAATGCTGCCTTGGTGAGCATAAGGGACTTCTTTCTAAAAAGAAATCGGAAAAATCGGAATTCCATATAACCTTGATGCCAGTCTGCAGGCTTGGAAAAGACCTAGAGTCTGCTTATAATGTCACTGTGACCAGCTGAAAAAGGCAGTACACTTGTCTGGGCAGACTGCCAGCGCACCATCGAGTGCTCCAGCATGTGATGTTCTACCCTCAGCACCACAGTCTACATGCTGTTGCAGATGTCTTGAGACACACCAAGGTCGCACTTGAGATCACACGGATGTCAGTGAGCATGTTTTCTCAGGAGGGATCACTGTCTCTTACTTTCCTTATTTCAAATTTCCTGATTTACGACCCCAGGACTGCACTGTTTATTCTTTGAGATGGATGTAAGTGCCAGAAGAAAGTAGAGAGTGCATGGCTTTTGGAAGATATGAAGCAAAACCTGCAGCTGTGAATTTGAATGTGAGGCTCTTGAAAAATCTGACTTTCACTGGACTTAATTTGTTTCTTTTGACAGGAAGTGCCATGATTTTTCAGTCTGTCTCAAGGGTGGCGAGAGTAATAGAAGTGCTCGCCGGATGTCAGGAGATTGGCAGAATGAATCACCCTGACTTGATAAGGTCTATAAAATTGCTCCACATCCTTCTCACAACTTGCTGTGTGAGAAAAAAAACAGCCTCTGAAAGAAAAATCAAGCAATAGAGCGCCTGCGAGAATGGCTGTCAGCGATCGTGCCTCAAATTTGACAAGTGACACAGAGTCTTTCTTTCTCTAAATAAAGAGTGTTTTCAATGAGACAGAAAATCTCTCTTTGCTTGTAAAATTCAGCCTAAGGGCACACGGATGATATCAGACAAAATCAAACCTTGAACCTTGACCATGCAACTATTTATTTTTCTTCAAGAAAAAATCGGAAAATGTGAACAAATAGGCAGCGCTACAGCTGAGAAAACATCTCTCAAATAGCCACAATTGGCAGGCAATGCATCAGTCTCCATGGTGATGACTGGCAAACATTGCAGCTGACAAGCTTGGCCCATTACTTAGTTTAATATAACCCAATTGGAGACAATCATCTGCTAGGCCTGCGTTTTGCAAAGACTCAGGCTTCCTCTGAAAGACTTTCTATTATAAAGACAGGTCAGAACAGGCTCACCACATTATGATTATGTTGCTGTTCACCTGCCATTAAACTCCATTAGAATTCAGCAATATTTAGAATGGCCAATTGACCCATTTGGTTACTCAGATGGCACAGCTGGCCAAACAGCACTCAGCTATTAACTGGCAGGGTTCCTGTAAGTCAGTTAAATACAATTCCCCCTCTCTGCTAAATTACAACACTGATCACACCCTTGAGAATGACAGCAGAAAGAAAGAAAAAAAGAAAGACTTGAAATCAATGTTGAATGTTCTAGATCAGATTTCCAGTTGGCTGTCATTTATTTCATTGAACAGTTAAGCCCTGCTGAGACACTGGATCATGTCATCATGTAACAGAATTAGGAAAATGGAAGTGCTTTCTATTTCCTGTCACCATATACAGTACATTTCTTTCATTCTTTGCTGTCCTTCTCAAGAGTGTGATCAGAGAATTTTGTTGTAATCTTTCTGTCTTTGACTCTCTATAGGTTCTTTAACCAGATTTAAAAGCTATTTCACAATATTGAGTATAAATCAATGTAGGACTATACCAGCTAGGGAGAAAGCGAAAGACAATTTTCCTGCATCAGTACAATCAATTTAGGATGGTATATTCTGTATCTATATTTATATTGCTTTACAAACATTCAGTAACTGCATTATTTAATGCATTCAATGAACACATAATATTTAGAATATGCACAACATGTGACAAACGTCTGCAGACAAATGGATGAGGGTTCCTTCATTTCCAGATTATAGTCTTTTTCAGTAAAAAAAATAAATAATGTTGAGTACGAAAGTCAGTTCAGACATAGGAATAAATGTGATGAAGTAATTAGAGCTTGATATTTCGCCTCTTATGCATAATAGACAGAATTTAGGAATGTAAAGACATTTAAAAAAAAAATTTTTCTTGAATTAGCATCAAACACCGAAAAAAAATACTTTATACATAAACATATTCAGATTTCTGTCTTTTAAATGTATTTAATTCATCCCATCGGTGCTCAACCAGGCATACCTTCAAACAAACACAAAACTAAATCACACTAAAACACACACGGCCTACAGCTTCCCTCGGTTTATCAAACACACAGTAACCACAGCTTAAGTTCTATTAGGTTCCTTGCCTTGTCACAGTTAATCCCAGTGCACCATCTCTCAGGAATCTGTCTCAAATAGGAATTAAGCTGTTTGGCCAGCAGCAACAGACTATCTCTCCTCTAGAATGTGTCCTCACTTCTCCTCAGTAGAGTTTTACTTTGGTATCCAGAGAGGAGAATCAATCACACAGTGCTTGCAAATTACCTCATTGTCACAGATGAGACTGTTTTTAAAACTGGTGTTTTTCGCCTTCACTCCTGCTCACTCACACTTTAGGTCTGAATCTTATGTATTTATAAATCTTTTGAAAAAACAAACAAACATGGATTTAAACACACTTTTGGCATGCTCAAAAGGGCAGTGCACCTGAAACAAACAAATGACTCTTATGAACCGATACTTTTTAGTGAATCAAAAACCAACAGCAAAACCAGTGTAGTTCACAAACAAATGATTTATTGTTGTATGAATCATTCAGAAAGACTCTTCACTTTAATGAACATGCTGAATCCATTGTGTCAAGATGATCATTGCTTTCAGTGATGGAGTATTGTTCAAAAATTTTATGTTTTATGATACTAAATGTTAGTCAAGACGTTTATTAAAATAATTAAATAAGATTAAATGAATATGTGAACCAATTAGAACTGTTGCCTTCATTTTTTTATGTTCTGCAAACACTTTTTGCAGCGCATGGAGTGATTTCATTCTGTGTTTATAACCTGTCAATAAAAGTTTGGTCTAACTTGAAGAAATTATGACAGGAATACTGTATATTACTGTTGCACAGTAGAATGTACTTCTTAATAATAATAATAATAATATAAATTATTAATATATTATTTTTAAGGAATATCACAACATTGTTGTCCATATTTTGATTTAAACCATAAATATGCCAAATTAAATCAAATTAAAAAGGAATTAAATTGAAAGGAACTTAATATTTTTTCATTTGCTTATATTTAATAATTGTATTAAATTTTTTAAAGATTAATTAAATATAAATATTAATATTGTAATGTTTTTATATTCTGTGTGCTCCTGACAGTAAAATGAGCCACTATAAACCTATATAATGGTCCAGTCAAAGAAAAAAATACAGTGACACAAATTGTTTGTCATACGACCCAGCAACAATTATGGTAAATTTGGTATAAAAAAAGTAGGGGAGGGATCTTCTAATAAAAAGGTCAGGAGCAGAGGTCTGATGAAAAGCTGAGTAACAGATAGAGAATGACACAGATGGCATGAGAAGCACAGCACACGTGTTGTGACAGCAGCATAAATGAAGCTTGATCGAAATGACCAGCAGCTTTGTGATATCAATGGCAGAAAACATCACTAACCCTGTGTTACCCTGCGGGTCAGCCAGCAGCTCGACCTGTCACTGCTGATCAACGCAGGAAGTGAAAGACAAGCACATCACAGACTCTGTGTTTACAACCACAATTACACGGCGCTCACTCCCTACTCCCATGCCTCTAATATGTGTGGGTGTGTTCCTATTGATTTATATGTGAGTGAATTAAACTTTTGGCTGTGATCGTGGGCTGCAAATTTTTTTCTCAGCATTATTATGGAAATTTCATTGTGAGTTGCGGCGCACTGTCTGTCAGCAATCAAGATGCTTAGCACTTGATAGACACTTGCACATTCTGCTCATGGCAACCACACTGAGCGAAAAGAGCAAAATCTAATGGCACTGTTTCTTGAGCTCAGTTCAGAAACAAGTCTTATCTTGTAAAAAAAAATAAACATCTTTATGACTTTGTCAACTTTTAGGTCAAATCTGGTGCATATAAAAAGCTCAGGCCCCATTAAAGGAGTAGTTTACCCAAAAATGAAAATGTATTACTCACCCTCAGGCCATCCAAAATGTAGATGACTCCAGTCCATCAATTAACATCTTGTGAAGTGAAAAGCTGCCATTATTAATGTGTTAGAACTATAAACCATCATGCAAGTTTATAATCCCTATAACACCTCCTCCAGTGAAAAAGTTAATTCCCTGTTGTTGTCTCACATTAAAATCCACCGACATATTTTAGAACTGTTTTTTGTTGATCTGTGAATATTTCTTTTCTGATTCAGACAAGATAACTTTTCACTGGAGAAAGCAATATTATGGATAGATGACTCATATTTTAACCGGAAGCAAAGGTTTGAAGTTAAAAACTCTTGATGATGGATTTGTTTCTTACACACATGCAGCTTTTCACTTCATTCATTTAATTAATTACATTAATTTATGGACTGGAGTCATGTGGTTTACTTGTAGATTATTGTAATGTTTTTATCAGCTGTTTGGACTCTCATTCTGATGGCACCCATTCACTGCAGAGGATCCATTAGTGAGCAAGTGATGTAATGCTAAATTTCTCCAAATCTGTTCCAATGAAGAAACAAGCTTTCATTTAATTAATTACATTAATTTATGGACTGGAGTCGTGTGGTTTACTTGTAGATTATTGTAATGTTTTTATCAGCTGTTTGGACTCTCATTCTGATGGCACCCATTCACTGCAGAGGATCCATTAGTGAGCAAGTGATGTAATGCTAAATTTCTCCAAATCTGTTCCAATGAAGAAACAAGCTCATCTACATCTTGGATGGCCTGTCAGTCAGTTTTTCGTATATTTTCCGTATATTTTCATTCATGGGTGAACTATTCCTTTACACAGAAAAATAAATGACAGAAAAAACCCAAACAAATCACAGCTATATTCGAAATTAAACCAATGGCATCAGTAAGTAATATTTAAAAAATCTTTTGCACTGCTCTAAAGACAAAGGGATTTTCAGAGTGTGCATAAGGCGATTTCTGGTGGACAGATTGAATGAGTGGAGAAGTCTCTTGGGGAGATTATTGACCCAGAAGCTCATGAGAGATGGAGGAGGAAGAGGAGGAGGAGCCTAGAAACAAACAGCTTGGAGATAATGATGAACTAGCATGGGACGACAGGAAATACAAGGAGGATCCCGTTTCTGCACTATGACTGCAGGACAGTCATAGGCGATGCAAACTAACAGCGGTGAGGTTGAATACTGTGATATCTTGCATCATTTCTGTTGTCATTTTCCCATCATAGACACCTCTACTTACTGAATGTATGTTCCAGTGACTGATTCTTAAACTACCATCTTATATGTGATCCTGGACCACAAAACCAGTCTTAAGTGTACATTTTTCCAAATTGAGATTTATACATAATCTGAAAGCTGAATAAATAAGCTTTCCATTGATGTATGGTTTGTTAGGATAGGAAAATATTTGGTCAATATACAACTATTTGAAAATCTGCAATCTGAAAAAAAAACCAAGAAAAATCTATAATTTTGACCCATACAATGTATTTTTGGCTATTGCTACAAATATACCCCAGCGACTCATGACTCAAATATGAAAGCCTATTAAATTCAATCAATTTGTGCCAAACTACATAAATATGGACTGCAACAAAAGTTGTTCCTATAGTATTTTCTTAACATAAACCTTGCCATCTTAGTAGTTTAATCATATGGCCCTAAATACCCCTAGGCGTGGGTGTGGATTAGTTGCACGCCAAGGGAAGGCATATGATGACAGAAAATTATGAATGAACTGCTGAGGTGATACCTCAAAGGAATGCACTATAGATTTGTATCTCATTATACTGAGTTCTATGCACTCACGTACCTCCAGACCTGTGCCAGCTGAAGAACGTGCACGACGCTTTGGAAGAGCCACACGCAGGCTCTGCAGCAGCTCTCAGCGCTGCTCCGGGATCCGGTGACCGCAGCGGAGCGGCCAGCGCCCCGCTGATCGCTGTCCTTGGTGCTGAAGTGGCTCTCCGCATTGGACGCCGCTACCATGGCAGCCGCAGCCGTGCCGCTCCCGTTGGCGTCAGTGTAATCGTACGCGAACCATCGGAAGCTGAGCACCTGCACCACCACAGACGGAATGATGATAAAAACCAGTGTCAGAGCGAACCACCAGTAGTTCCGCCTGAGATAGTAGTCGGCAGCCAGCCACAGGTCTGAAGCCCCGTCCGAGAAAAAGACCAAGAGGGCGCAGAGGGTCCAGCAGCAGTCCAGGAGCGAATACTCCTTCCCGACGGGACGCCACTGGGGAGAGCGCTTCTCCAGCCCAGGGAGGCACGTCGGCGGAATGTCATTCTGCAAAGAAACGGCTGTACCGTCTGATTTCGCGGCCATGTTTGTTGTAGAAAAGAGAGTAGATAGAAAAGAGAGACGGGAGGGAGGGGGTCGTGTGTCTGTGTGGGAAGGAGAAAAGAGGGCTGGGACAAAAATGCTTCTCCTTATTCCTGCTTGAACATCTAGCTCCTGCATTTTCCACCTGAAAGCAATTTATCACGGCAGTCGCCGACAGTAAGCGTGCAGGCATGCGTGTAGTTTTTATTCAAAAGCCTATAATGTGATATAGAATTAATAATACAGCGATAGGTAGGGATATCCAATCTCATGGCCCGAGATGAAAGGTACCTCTGCAGTCCTGATTCAGATTCAATTTAGCGCCTGTGTCTTCATTGTCTCAAGCTAGATCAGTTTATGTAAATATTATAAAGTTATATTAATCTGTTCAGACCCAAATTATGTCACAGACACAAAAATATGACCATGCTCTTATTGAAACAAATCACCTCAGTAACATCATGTAAGTTAATGTTAGTTATTGAAGTTGTTTAATAGCTATTTAATAGTTGTGTGTGTGTGTGTGTGTGTGTGTGTGTATGTGTATATATATAT